GTGGAAAGACACAGAGATCTGGGCGTATGGACGACCACAAATCTATCGCCATCAGAACACTGCAGAAAGATGGTCCAGAAGGCAACTAGTACTCTACACTGGATCAGACGTGCATTTAAAATATTTCCTCCTGAACTCGTCGAAAGACTCTTTGGTGTCTTTGTAAGACCTCATCTAGAGTATGGAATGCCAGCAGCTTTACCATGGATGAGGAAGGACATCAACTTACTCGAACAAGTGCAACGCAGAGCGACAAAGATGGTCGACGGTCTAAAGCATTTGTCTTATCAGGCGAGGCTAAATTTGCTTGGCCTATTTCCTCTCTCTGATAGACAAATAAACTGCAGTCTACTCTGGACGTTCCGGATTGTTCGCGGCCAGGGTTGCTCATTAAGGGCAGAGGACTTCTTTGAGTTCGCCCGTACAAACCAACTACGCGGCCATGCATTCAAAGTCGGGAATGAGCGAACACGTTTAGACCGACGAAAATTTTCTTTCAGCCAGCGGGTTGTCAGGCCGTGGAACTCGCTTCCAAGCGAGATGGTGACGGCTGACACAGTTTGTGTTTAAAAGAAAACTTGCTCGTCTAGTTTTCGACAGAAATCGACTTGTACAGCATGACTATGCACAGCCAGTTTTGTAAAATCTGTCATATACAATCTTCCGCACTAATTTACAGTGACCCCATGCACTACCTTATGATAACGATTGAACTGTGACCCAATCACATTTTAAATGCCTGCAATTTTATTTTATTTTTGAGTATGAATCTGCGAAAGCACTGTACATAAATAGGGTCATCAAGGGCTCTGCCTGTAACCCTTCAATATACATATACATACATAACAGCGAGGAGGGACGACAGAGAATGCGGGTAGATTGATACAGCACTGTTTCGGGCTTATACTGCCTTCATTCAGCCAATCATAACCCTGACCACCAGCAGCTGAGACCAGAAACACAAACATGCGCACAGACGCACCTGGCGCAGTCGGTCCACCACTGAGGCCTACCAGATGGGTCATAAGCACTTCATCGAACCGAAGTTCATCAGTTCCTGACTGATAAATACCCGATCTGCTGCGACAGAGAATGACAGGTGGCGAGGCACTGATGAACTTCGGTTCGATGAAGTGCTTATGACCCATCTGGTAGGCCTCAGTGGTGGACCGACTGCGCCAGGTGCGTCTGTGCGCATGTTTGTGTTTCTGGTCTCAGCTGCTGGTGGTCAGGGTTATGATTGGCTGAATGAAGGCAGAATAAGCCCGAAACAGTGCTGTATCAATCTACCTGCATTCTCTGTCGTCCCTCCTCGCTGTTATTATGACTTGGCCGACTTCGGCCTGGTAATTGGTTGCCTGTTCGTGACCTTTGCCGCACACACGGAGCTTGTTTGCTTTGTGAAGCCAATAGATCGGTGTGCGCCCATTGCTGACTGATATACATACATATACGTATACATATACATGCAAGCAGTTAGACGTCCCGACGTTGATTGGACGATCGTAGTCCTCTACCCAAGGCAGTATTCTGACCACAAGCGACAAAGGTCATTTCTCAGTTATATCACCGAAAAAAAGTTACCAGCATTACTACTACTACTACTACTACTACTACTACTATTACTACTACTACTACTACTACTACTACTACTACTACTACTACTACTACTACTACTACTACTACTACTACCACTAATACCCGTGACCAGAAGCCCATTCCTGTTATGAGCAATGATGACGGCTTGGAGGTGTCGGACAGCACAGATAAAGCTGAGCATTTTCCTCTGTTTTTCAGTCTGTGTTCATAAAAGAAGCAGATTTTATTCCACCTACTTCTGGGATCATGGAGGATCTGGCTATTGAACATGTTGTGTTTCGAGGAGAAGCGATTTTGGAAGAACTAAAAAGCTTGAAGGAATGTAAATCTTCCGGTTCGGAGGAGATCTCAGCAAAGCTGCTCCCCGAGCTTGCCCGACAGCTGGCCCAACCGCTATCCTTTCTTTGCCAGAAATCACTTAATGCTAAAATCTTTCGCACCGACTAAAAAACGGCCCACATTACACCGCTTTACAAAAGCTGTAGTCGTGCTCTCGCAGCGAACTAAAGACCCACCAGTTTGAAATCAATTTGCTGCAAAGTCGTGGAGAAAACCACCAAAAGGAGTTGATGGTTTATTTGGAAATCCACAACCTCTTGTCTAATGCACAACACGGTTTTCGTGGGAGAAGATCATGTGTAAAGAACTCGTTATACACAGCGCAAAGCTGGAATATAGCACTTGATGCAAAACACACTGCGGACGTGGCTTATACTGATTTCCGGAAGGTGTTCGACAGTGTTCCGCACCAGCGTCTCCTATAGAAGTTGAGAATGATGGGCACCGGGTGCAAATTTCTTAAATTTATCGAGAATTTCCTCGTCGGCCGTTCCCAAATTGTCTTCGTAGAACAAAAGCAAACAACCTTAATCGCTATCCTCTGAGTCATAGGTAATTACGCGCAGACTTGATACAAACTTTCCCTATTGTGCGTGGCTTAGGCTGCGCCCTCCGGTGTGACGACTTTTTCCAACTCACAACTACAAATAACCTCCGAGGACATCCCTTCAAATTACGTATGCCCCAAGGGAGATTGGATATGAGACAGCATTTTTTCCTGCAACCGTGACGTGGAACTGTGGAATAACCTGCCCGATGCGATTAGAATGTCTAAATCTGTGGAGGCATTTAAATATCGGTTTTTCTGACGTATGCTGTAGCAGCAAGCGGACACGATCGCGAGGCCGAAATTCTCGCAAGAGGGGACAACCGCGTGGGCCGGGAGCTGCTTGATCATGGTTTACTGACCCCCAGTCTATTAACAAGTGCAATGATCTTCCCATTCAATAAAGCGTGCTGAGACTTCGTCTAGGCTGAGTAATTGGCCATGCGGGGAGCGCACTGGTGAACACTCTTCCCAACACCCGAGTCAGCGCGTCAGATGGTCGAGCAATCATCACACCAACATCCGACGCACGTGATGAAATTGCAGCAATTAACGAAGCGAATGTCGGCCATCACGCCACGTGCAACGATCCCTGATGAAGGGGAGGGAGCCGTGAATATTCATAGGTATGCGGTGGCATGGCTACTGCATCCTATAAATACCGCGGCCCCTTGTGCAACAACCACCCTTATCTGCTTATGTCTCTGATGATGGATTAGAGCAGGAATCCGAAACGTCAGGCTAATAAAGCTCTTGTCCCGGCGATCGTGTCTTCTTCTTCTTCAAGCGGACTATATGACTTTGTAACCATAAAGCCAGTGACCTATGTGGATTGATGTCTACATTCACCTGATGCTGTCATTTCTTCAGATTGTTCCTAATTATTTTCGATCTCTATGCACAAATAGGGAGTTCAGAGGCGTAAGCCTATTTCCCTCAAATACACTGACTACTACTACTACTACTACTACTACTACTACTACTACTACTACTACTACTACTACTAATAATAATAATAATAATAATAATAATAATAATACCACTACTACTACTACCGCCACTACTACTACTACTACTACTATTACTACTACTACTAATACTACTACTACTACTACTACTAATTATTCTTGTTTTTCCCCTGGTGTCGTCGTATTTTACTGCTTTGCTCTCCCGCAGGTTCGTTTACTTTATCAGAGCAACCTGCAGCAATGCAGCAAATTGGCCATGTTTGTTTGCGGCTACGTTAACCGTAATGCAGTTCTCCTGATTATTTAACTGGACAAAAATGCGTGCAGTAAAAGGACATCGTAATCCAGCGGACGGTTTCACTAGCTCAATTTTGACCTGAATCTGCCTTCAGGTCACTGAATAATTACCGCACCTGCAAGGTTTAGACTATTCTAAAATGAAAGCGACGCACTTTCCGTGCAGAAGCCTTTTTTTCAATTTTATGCGCCATCTTAACTCTCACATCCATGTACCCTCATAATAACACCTCGCCCGACCTCGCGGGCTCGCGAGACCGGATGGTTTACTTCGCGCAGCGAGTCGGGTGACTCACCAGCTGTGATCACGTGCGAGACCGCGGACGGTGGAGGGTAGGGGGGGGGAAGGGGGGAGGGGTTGGAGCGCGCCTTGACAGGTCCACAACGCGCTGTGCACACGTTACCGCACGGCAGGCCTAGCCTCGTCATCGAAGGCATTTAAGCGCGTTGCCCTCGTATGCGGCCGTGCAGTTTTTTTCATGAAAAGGTCAGGCCTCCCGATCGGGAGATGAACTTAACATGCCTCCTCCTCCTCCCCCCCGCGCCGCCTCTGTAGCCAAGCCAGGAAAAGCAACCAAGTCACGGATACAGCAAAACACGAAAGATATATGCAGCTTGGAGAGCTTTTTGCGAAGGAGAAATATTTTTGCGTACATGCGTTTGAGGTTGTTACACTTGTTCCTCGTTGGACGCACGGTAAAGCCGGCAAAGACTACCATCCGTCCGCTTTGGTTAAAAAATGTCCGAGCAGATTTTCCACATTGCTTATGCAAATAACGCCTGCTAGGTTAGCGGCCATACAAATATGGCTCAGCTGGATAGTCACTCGGTTCCGATCGCGTACCCCTCAGAATTTTGTTTGCGACATCCAAATCATTAAGCTCATTCCAGTGTATCCGCCTTGAGAAATAAAAATCAGCATTCTTAAGGGAACCAGCTTTTCAAGTAAATAAGCCTACCTCTAAATGTAAGAGCCTGGAAGGTCCGACTGGCATGACCTTAAATGTTAGCCAGTTCGAACTGAACTAAACAAAAACCGTAAGCGAGTATGAGAAGTCCCGTCGTTTTTAAAAAATGATTGAGTTCGAAAGAAGACCGGAAGCCGAAAAAAGGCGACCTCCGTTTTGTGTGTTCGTCAAACTTTACGGAAAGTTGTTGCTAAGTAAACCACTGATTACGTTGCTTATTGGTGATTGCACCTCTAGGAGACGAAGCAGAATTCTGCTGTTTGGAAATCAGCAGCAGCACCATCAGTGCGCCATCACCATAACCACCAATACCATTACAACCGCCAACACCACCACTGTCACTACCATCACATCAACCACCACTATCGCACCACCGCCACCACCACCACCACCACCACCACCACCACCACCACCATCATCATCATCATCATCATCACAACCAGCACTCCAACCGCCGATACCACTGCCGCCACATTCCGCTGTTTGGAGATCATCAGCTGGAAGCGCGGGCGTTCCAGCTCCAAAATGCTCCATAATAAGGGACTTTTGATAATTACCTGCTTGCATGTATATGCTAATAAAACATTTCAATTTGTCCGGATTTACGAACTTTCAATAGCGACCGAATGATTCACCAGGGTGACATTAAACAATTATTGAAATTGTCCTCATAAAAATGCCAGATAAACCATTCAAACACATATAAACAAGTTCAAATGCGCGTCCATATGGGTAGAGCAAGTTTTCTTTGGTTTGGAAAAGCTGAGAGTTGGGGCTCATAAGTTCAGGGAGAAGAAAACGACTCACCGAAGCTGATTCATTGAACTGATGACGTTTAGGAGAACTTAGTCGGCTAATCGCAGTCAAAGCGTCAAATGAGAAAAAACCGAACAGAAATGCAAATGACTTCCGTGTTAGTCGCCTTTTAGTCTGAGCTGTCTTTTTTTGCTGTCTAGGCTTTCTTGCGGATGCCTGGTGTGCTTGACAGCGTTACGAGGGCTCTTCGGTCCTGGGGTACTAATGAGCCGGCCAAGATCTCCCACACGGTATTACCTTTCGAATGACTAAATGATGATGATAAATATACCAGAAATGGCTATTTCAGCATCCCTTGCCTTCCTTGGTAAAACTTCTGAACTATTAGCTGCTCCCTACTGTATAACAGCCTATCAAAAATCCAAGGTGGAACCGAAGGCCCCTAAGTGGCCTTGCAGTCAGACGCCACCCCTATGTGGCCTTAAATTTAACTCACCATTCAATTGTGAAGAAGGAGACACGATCGCTGAGACAAGACGTTTCGGATTCCTGCTTGAACCCATCGTCAGAGCCAATAGTACATGCCGGTGGTTCATGCACAAGGGGCTGTAGTATTTAATAGACTGGGGGGCAATGAATCATGACTGGAGCAGGTCTCGGCTCACGCGGCTGGCCGACATTCGGGTCGTAAATTGCTGAAATTTCATCACGTGTGTTGGATGTTGGTGTGATGATTACTCAACCATCTGACTCACCGACCCTGGCGTTGGGAAAAGTGTTTACTTGCGCGCTCCCCGCGTGGCTAATTACTCCGTCTAGGCGAAGTCTCAGCACCGAGTATGAAAGGGGAAGATCACTGCACTTGTTAATGGACTGGAGGCCAGTGGACCATTACTCATGCAGCTCCCGGCTCACGCGGCTGTCACCTATAGAGGGAATTTCGGCCTCCTCGAATTTGAATGTGCGGCCGGATCTCGTCGAAAGAGCCGCAACTTGAGAGTTGGCGCGGGGAACGCGCAGGCAAACAATGTTCCCGGATCCAGGTTCGGTGGATCGGAGCAATCATCATATCAAGATTCAGCGCCCGTGATGAAATTGCAACTATTAACGAATCTAATGTCGACGATCGAACAGTCATCACACACCGAGTCTGGCAATCCTTGATGAAGAGGGTGGGAGAAGCCATGTATTTTCATAGGTAAGCGGTAGCGTGGCGAATGAATCCTATCAATACTGCAGTCCCTTGTGCATGAACGACCCGCATCTGTCATTGTTTATGATGACGGGTTCAAGCAGGAATCCGAAACGTCAAGCGAATAAAGCTCTTGTTCCAGCGACCGTACCTCCTTCGCAACTGCTTCCTGGGACTCGTTTCTTCGCTTCTATCCTGCCAAAGGCACGCCAGTAGACTCAGAGGAAGTAAGAATAGCTGTCATTTGATGCCATGGGGATTTACTTCGCCGACCTCTCGACATGCACCCACGGATGTTCTAGTGGAATTTCATTTTTCGCTTGCAATGTAACGCTTCCGCTGAATTTGCACTGTGAATATCCTTCCTGAGAGATAATTTGCCGGGTGTAGATCAGGCGGCGGTAGCCGCAGTGTTATATTCTGTGATCACCACAATTTTCACACGCCTTCAGCTGACACCACAATGACAGTTCGATCATCGTGACCAGCTACGTCCACCGTGTGCTCCACAGCAGGGTGAGGGCACGGAAGGTGACTAAAGCGTGAGTTTGGTTAGACTGATAGCAGACTTACGCGGCATCTGCCACACTCCCTCCTCCTC